CACATGAGTTTTGGAGGGGACAACACATTCAAACTCCATCATTCCTCCCCTGGCCCCCCAAAACTCATGTACCTCTCACAATCAAAATGCAATTATACCATCCCAACAGTCCCAAAGTCTTAATTTGTTCCAGCACCAACTTAAAAGTCCAAAGCCCAAAATCTCATCTGAGACCAAAGGTGAAACTCCTTCCAGCTGTGAACCTGTAAATATCAAAAACAAATTTATCTACTGCCAAGATACAGTGGTGGAACAGACATTGCATACATATTCCCATTTCAAAAGAGAGGGATAAGCCAAAAGAAAGGTGTCCCAAAGAAGTGGGCTGCACTGGTGCCTGTGGCTTTTCTAGGCCGGTGTTGCACATTGCCAATGGCCTTACAGATCTGGGGTCCTGACGGCAGCCCTGCTGCCTTGGCTCTACTAGACATTTCCCTGGTGGGGGCTCTCTGTGGAGGCTCCAACCCTAATTTCCTGCTCAGCATTGCTCTAGTAGATGACCTCTGCAGTGGCTTCACCCCTGTCGCAGGTCTCTCCCTGTGTCCCAAGGCTTTTCCATTCATCCTCTGAAATCTGGGTGGAGGCTGCCAAACCTCCACTGCTCTCATGTCCTGCCAGCCTGCAGACTTAACACAATGTGGACACCATTGAGGTTTCAGGCTTCTACTCCCCAGAGCTGCTGCATGAACCACAGTTGGGGCTGCTCCAGCCAGAGCAGCTGGGATGCAGAAAGCAGGTTCCTGAAGGCAGCTGTGTCCCAGATCTGTCCTCCAAGACAACTCAGTCCTTCTAGGCCTCAGAGCCTGTGATGGTGGGGCACCCTTCCAGACTTCTCAAAGGCCTATAGGGCTTTTCTCTCACTGTCTTGCCTATTAGCATCTGGCTGCACACACACCCAAGATAATGCCTTTACCAGCCAGTTTATCTGCTTCAGTCTTGCAATTTTCTCCTGATCTCCACTTCTCTACCACATGGCCAGGCCACAGATTTTCCAAATCTTTATGCTCTGCTTCCCTTTTAAATTCTGGCTTTACATCATGCCTTTGCCGCCATAACTCACAGTAGGCTGTTAAAAGTAACCATGCAGCTTCCTTAATGCTTTGCTGCTTAGAAATTTCTTCTGCCAAACATTCTGGTTCACAACTTGTAAGTCCCACTTTTCACAAAGTCCAAGGGCATGGACACAATGCGGCCATGTTCCTTGCTATGGTGTAACAAGGGTTAACTTTTGTGCAGTTCCCGATAAATTCCTCATTTCCCTCTGAGACCTCATCATTTGCATGGCCTTTACTGTCCACATTTCTATCAGCATTCTGGTCACAACCATTTAACCAATCTCTAAAATGTTCTGAACTTTCCCTCATCATTTTGTCTCCTTCTAAATCCTCCAAACTCCTCCAACCTTTGCCTATTACCCAGTTCCAAAGCTGCATCCACATTTTCAGGTATCTGTATAGCAACACCCCACTCCTCAGTACCAGTTTTCTATATTAGTCTATTGTGTGTTGCTATAACAGAAATACCTGAAACTGGGTAATGTATAAAGAACAGAAGTTTATTTGGCTTACAATTCTGGAACAGCTGCATCTGGCATGGGCCTCAGGCAGCTTCTACTCATGGCAGAAAGTGGTAGGCAGCTGGTGGGTACAGGCAGATCACATGGTGAGAAGAAGCAAGAGAGAGAGAGAGAGAGAGAGGAGGTGCCAGGGTCCTTTTAAACAACCAGCTTTCACAGGAACTAATAGGGTGAGAACTCACTCATTAATCCCCCTCCCCCAGGGAGGACATTAATCCATTCATGAGGGATCCGCCACCATGACTGAATCAGTTTCCAACACTGCCACATTGGAGATCAAATTTCCACATGAGTTTTGGAGGGGACAAAACATCCAAACTCCATCAA